GGGGGTAATTGTCTAAAGACCTTAGTATTTTAAAACTTTTAGGGGGGGGCAATTGCCTAAAAACCCTTGTAATAAAGACTAAAAAAATAGATTGAGGGAGACAAATTACATAAATAATCATATAATGAAAAAAAATATATAATGCATAAAATAATGATAAAAAGGATATTGCATGAAGTGTTAATTGCATGACTCATAAGCTTAATTCCTTTATAGTTAACATAATCCTAAACATTGCCTTTGCTCATAAATATTGATACAAAAATGCTTCTTTTTCAATCATTTTGCATCTTCTCATTCTATCAATTCTATTGAAAGAAACAAATACTACATCAATTTCAACCAGTTTCAATTCAATAACTAAAGGTGAAACTAGGGCAGATTTCCAAGCTTATGCAATCGTACAACGACTGAAACCAAGAAAAATACACGCAAATGAAAAGTGTATAGAATCAACAATGTGGAAGGAAATACTGATAGAAAATGTTAAATTTCGCGAAAAATGGTCAACTTATACGAAAAGATTAGAACTAATTGCAACAATGTAATCATTTATCACATTTCATGCGCATGTTTACAGTTCAAACTCACCATTGATTGCCGGTTCGGCCTTTTGTGAATTACTCATTAATTATTATTGACACTATTATTTATATATTTAATAATATATATTTTAAGTTATATTAATTAATCTAATCATATTAATATTTAATTACTAATAATACAATTAAGTTAAATTAGATAATTAATTTATGCACTAATTATAGTATTAATTATTTAATTAATTTACTTAATTATTAATGTTTTAAATTATATTACTTAAGTTAATCAAGGGTTTGCCTTCATCTTTTCTTTTCGTCATTGCTGTTCGGCTTCGTTGCTTCGCAAGAGGTTTTTAGATTGCACGCGTCGCTTCTTCGGATCCTTTGTGGTTTCCGTTTTCCGACTTCGCTTCTTCGATGACTTTCCCTTCCTGTCAGATCTAAGGGGCTGTTTGGTATCGGATTTACAGCGGGATTTAATTCGGATTTACGCTAAATCCAGCCAAACAGTTTTTATGGGCGCGTTAAATCCCGGGATTCAGTAAATCCCGGATTTACGGATTTACAGCTTAAATCCGAGATTTAGTAAATCCGAGGGGTAGCCGGATTCAGTAAATCAGAGCGGGATTTATCCGAAGAAGCGCGCGAAAGGGAGAGTTACCTTCACAGCCAGCGAGCTATCCGAGCGGGATTTATCCGAAGAAGAGCTTGAAAGGGAGAGTTACCTTCACAGCCAGCGAGCTCCCGTTCTTGCTTCCGATCAAAATGTCGTAACTTCCGATCCGGGTTGAAGTCGTCGCAGGAGCGAAGTCGAACAGCCACGAAGGAGCCGAAGAAGCGACGCCTGCAATCTCTACACCTCATGCGAAAGCAACGGAGCCGAACAGCAACGACGAAAAGAGAAGATGAAAGGCAAACCCTAGACGCCTCTAATAAAGTTACAACATTTTGATCGGAAGCAAGAACAGGAGCTCACTGGTTGTGAAGTTAGCTTTCTCCTTTTCGCGCGCTTTTAAAGTTAAATCCCGTTAAATCAGCCAAACCAAGGGATTTAGCAAATCCAGGATATAAGGCGTAAATCCGGGATTTACGAAATTCTGGGATTTAACGTGCGCACAAAAAACATTGGGTTGGATTTAGCGTAAATCCGACCTAAATCCCACGATAAATCCGATACCAAACAGCCTCTAAAGTTATGATACGTTGATGCATAACTCCAAATATGCTATTCAGGAGTAACAACTGTGAGAGCAAAACCATTTGCTTTACAAGCAAAAAAAATACAAGGAAGCTCGCTCATGTAACTCGTATCTTGTTTTAAGATGGCCAGCTAGGTGCTCGAAGCTAGATGTAATTTAGATTAAATTAAAAGAACAAAGGCAACAGAAAGACTTGTTCAGATGGGAAGTAGCTCAAGTGCAGATACAGAAAAAAAAAAAAAAAAAAAAAACATTTACTGCTTCAGCTGCTGCAGCACAGACTCTGCAAATATCTGCTGCCTGAATTTTTCAGCATGCAAAAGCATCAGTGGAAAGCAAATATAACATGAAAAGATTCATAATAGTATAGTACAGACATAAAAAATCAACGAATTTAGTTGTCGATAAGTAAGAGAATATTTGGTTAACAATTTATTCTGGATTTAAGCCAAATCATGTTAAAAAAATCTTCTAGGTTTCCTTTGAGAGGATAACAGTTATTGCATCAACAAAGCAAATCAGCAAATGATTCCAGAAAAAAAAAAAAAAAACAATTTAAAACAAACCATTAAATCATATTAAAAGGGATAAAGCTACAGGGATATTTAAAATGTCCAATTCAATATTTCATTTCCTCCTTATTTTAAATTGAATACTATAAATAGTTTAGGGCTAAAATGACTCTTATTACGTCCTCTGACCAGATGTAGAGCTACGTTCGGCCGCCAATAATATGTCGCCACATGCTCTTACTCTTTATCGCGCGGCCCGACGACTTGACCGGACCAGAACCCAGGAATGCTATGTTCGCGTATTGCGAGGTATTACTCGGTATTTGCTTGGTATTGCTCGGTATTGCTTGACAATAACGAGAAATACCGCTCTGTGAAGACAAATACCAAGTAATACCGAGAAATACCGAGTTGTACCGAGTTTTTTAGAAAAACTCTGTACAACTCGGTATTGCTCGGTACTTGCTCGGTATTTGCTCGGTATTGGTTATTATCAAGCAAAATCGACCAATACCTAGCAATACCGAGTAATACCGAGCAATACCTAGCAAAATCGAGAAATACCGAGCCATCCTGGGTCCGTTCCGGATAGGGTTGTCGGGCCGTGTGGTAAATAGTGAGAACGCGTGGTGCGATTCTATTGGCGGCCAAACGTAGAGCTACGTTCTGTGACCAGACCAAATAAAAGTTCTTCAAGTCTCTCACAAATATTCCAAGGACTATTTTGACCATTTTCTCTATCTTTAATGTAATTGAGCTATAACAACAAATGATAAATTTACTTACTTCCTTTCTGTAAGCTTGGAACTTGGACGAAAATATTTTAGGTAACCATCCCAAGGAACCTTTTTTAGCCCAGCTCGAGCAGCAATCATGTCTCTTATCCTAATATAAATTTAAAAATAGAGTACAAAATAAGCCTACAAGATGAATAAGGTTTATATACAACTAGAAAAATTAAAGGAAATAGCTTCACCGTTCAGCAAACTCAATCGAAGTCTCGTCGGGTCTGAGGTATTGTGGCTCCAGGTACCAGACATCGCAAACAACTGCCCATGATGTCATAAGGCGGACCAAATGCTTGGTGAATGATTGCCTACAACATGTATATTTTTAATAATTCGCGTGTGGACCTCATACATTGTGAAGTTGTAAGTCTGCAAGGCAGGTGTGCAATACGAATGCAGGAAACAAAAAGGTATAATGAGTCAAATTAGATTCCAAGAATAAATATCATAAAATAAAAATACCACTAGAGCAGGACTGTTTACCACACACTAACATTATCATCTAGGCATGCACACTGAAAAGTAGGCTCATCACACACAACACACATGGACCGATCTAAGAGATGGAAAAAAGAATGAAAGGTACAAAGACGTGAATAAACCAAAACTGATTTTGAGCATGCTAAGAGAAAATAATAATGTGTTCGTAATCATGATGTGTTTTTCATGATGGCATTTCAGTAACATCAGGATACTACTACATTTACAGAGCATAGAAAGATGGCACCCTAAAAGTGACAGCTTAATGAACATACATAAATGTAGTTATATTGTCTTTGTAGATCCATTAACACAGCGACTTACCAACATTGTATAATATGCCTGAAATTTGATTCAAATAAATGGATTGAAAGATGGTGAGGAATGGAAAATCACACTTAACACTTAACACTCCTGTAGAATTTTGCATTATTTTACTCTTTTAAAAATCTTAACTTCTAGAAACCATACACTCATGCATGCTCATGTCAGTAACTTGTAATATCTATATAAGCTCGACTAGAGGAACCATGTGGTTAAAATGTCACGTGCCCAAAGGAAGAGTAGCTCCGTAGAGCAACTACTGACACCAGGCCATGAGCAAAAGACAACTTCCCCCTACAGAGACCACAATGAGTAGACTCGCACTGGGAGATTAGACCATGGGAGAAATTGTCCTCAACGAGCTCCTCCAAAGGAGCTTCCAAAACCAGTCATCCACCTGAGTGAAGCTCACCCCAACTAAAACCACTACCCCATAGCAGTTGTCTGTAATCAAGGTCATCCACATATCACATATATGCCCGATCAAGCTACAAGAAATGCACCTTTGAAACCCATGACTACGACATCACTCACTATAGTCGCCCCCGACTTGCAGTCACTTCCATCTAGGAGACACGCCCCTCGTTCCCAATAACTCGTATCTTGTTCCTAGGGACTAATATATTATTTCAAAGGATTTGCCTTCATCAACTCACCCTATATGCTAGGTCCCAATAACTCTGCCCAATATGCTAGGTCTCGACGACTAGCACTATTACTTAGGTCCCGACGACTTGCCAAAGATACTCTCCTAAGGACTCGCCCAAAATTTCAAAATGAATTTATTTTAAAAACATGAAAATATGAATCTCAGATTTTGCGGTGCTAGGATGCTGGGGCGACAGTGGTGGTGAGGGGAGAGCAGTTGGAGCGGTGGGCGCTGAATTCAGTGCGCGCGCATTGATATTCTTTGTTCTACAGTAACTCTAGAAGCACATGCAACAGTCTGGTGCCGCGATGCCAGACACTAAAAATGATTTTTTTTTTTAAATATCCATGCCTCCCACCACCCCTCTCTTTATTTCACATTCCTTATCGGGTAAGGAAAAGGAGATGAAGAGGAGAGAGAGAGAGAGAGAGAGAGAGAGAGAGAGAGTTTTCTGAGGCTTTTTCATCTGTCACTTATGTTACAAATTTTGTTCTAATTGATGTGACTATGCTCTTACTCATATTTTAGATGGTTTTGATTTATATGATTTTTATCGCTCATGAATCTGCCAAAAATATATTATCTCATGATTTATTGAACTAACACTATATAAGTTTTGGTATACGATAAATATTACTTTTATAAGCATTTTAATTATAATAATATTGAATTTTATCAAATAAATTTATAGTTATGATTTTTAAAAGTTAATGCATAGTATATAGATTTTCTTACATTTTATAGATTAATACATTTCATACCTGATATTGACTTGCATAGAAAAAATGATATGATTGATATAAGATAAATGTGTCGTTTGAATATAAGCAAGGAATGCTATCTATGAACACTATAATTAAAATGGGCTGGCTGCTAAAATATAATATCCTGGGGTGAGCCAATGGATTTTCCTTAAAATAAAATGTTTGTAATACAATATTGGAAGTTATCCTGTAGCCGGTTGACTGATTACGTCGGCAAGTAGAAAGTGACGACTCTTTATTGATTAATAAAACCCACCTATGAATTGATTTAAGATTTATAAACAATAATGGTAATATAAAGATTGATGACCAACTGGTTGACAGTTGGGGTTAAATTAAAGATTAATAAAACATTCGTCGATAGTTAGGTTAGAAGATGTTAAAAACACCGCATTAAAACTTGATGTTCTAACTTGCTATTCATAATTGTACCCATATCTGCATTTACATGACAGCATATGACTTGATTTAATTGATGTAGAATTGATAGGACCTGCATGATTTACTAGGGGGCCACAACCAAGAAGGGGGAGCTGTTTAGGAGGTTCCTAATCAAAAAGGAGTTGTTTAAGAAATTTCCTAATTAAGAAAGATTATTTAGGAAGATTTTTAATCAAGAGAGGAGTTATTTATGAAAGTTTCCTAATTGTGTTTATATTATTTATGAAGTGTTTAATTGTTTATAAATGTTTCCTAAAATATATTTAATTGTTAAGAAAGGTTTCCAAAATCATAATTAATTATTTTTGAAGACTTCCTAAATCGTATTTTATAATTTAAAAAGTTTTCCTAAATTCTATTATGTTGACTAGGAAGGTTTTATTTATTTAGAAATATTTTCTAAATTATATTTATGCTCATTAGGAAGGTTCTAATTGTGTTATTGTGTTCTAGGGCTATTCAAGGGAGAGTTTATCTATGGTTTAGGGTAGGATATTGCTAAGTTTATTTTTCTAGTATTTGTTGTTAGTTCTTAGCAACATCTAGGATTTGTGGGAGAGATGATCTACCTCTCGAGATCAATTGTAACTTGCTTTATTATTGAAGAAGAAATAAGAAAATCAGCCATATCTTGGTGTTCCTATGTTGTTCTTATCTTTTAATTATTATTTTTACTTCTAAGGCGCATCAAATTGGTATCAAAGCACTTCTTGTGGACCTATGACAGCAAAGAAGATGGAGGTGTTGAAATTTAAGATGGAGCAAATCAAATCCAACGTGGAGAAGAGGTTTTCATCAATGGAAGGAAGATTTTCATCTATGGAAGGAAGGCTTTCTAACCTGGAAGACATAATGAGGAAGTTGATCGAGATGCTATCGAAGGCTTTGCCGGCTATTCCTAAGACAAAAGGGAAAGGAAAATATGGAGGAGATGACAAGAAAGCTTTTGAAGATGCAATAAAAAACTCCACCGGTGGTTCCGATGGCTAACCCTTGACTGAGATTCCCTTGGCCGAATCGAATGGAAAGGACATCGGATAAAAGGAGTTCGAAAAGAGTTTCTATCATCAAAGCCACCTCCTGGGGCTCCGATAAGGGGCAGATCAGGGTTTCTGGATGAGGGGACAAAGAGGGAATTTTTTTATGGAGGTGGTAGGGTGGTCGACCACAATTGGGAGGGGGGGGGGAGAGGGAGGAGTGGCCATTGGAGGGGACCCAAGAACCACCTCCTAGGGCTCCACTAAAGGGTGTAATAGAGTTTTCGAATGAGGAGATAGCAGGATGGGAGTTTTGTAGTGAAAGTGGTGGGGTGATTGACCATTATGGGAGGTCTTTTGGGCAAGGGGAGTGGACGATCGGAGAAAAAGGAGGAGGGGCCAGACCATGGGGATTGGGTCAAGTGAGGCAAATGGAAGAAATGTGGGATTCCCACCCTCGATACATGGGGAAAACATAGAGTGGTTACAACAAGTGTTGGAGTAGGAAGAAGCTAATGGGGCGATGGCAATCTTATAGTGGCAATCCTAGGGTCATTGCAGCCTAGTCTTAATGTGAAATAAGCAGAATATCTTGCAGCAAGAGCTACACCTATTCATCCCAGCTCTTAAGAATTTAGTTCGTATGGTGGAATAATGGATGTAAAACCACATATTTTACCCATTCCTGGACAGTTCATGATTTGTATGCAATCCAGAGATACAAAGAGCTCTTTTATAGCTTCCATCGAGATAATTGTAGTCTACAAAAATTCGTGTCCCGACCTCCCCTGACGCCGCTTTTGCTTTACTTTTTGTGCTTATTTGCTTTTCAGAGTGAGTTTTAAAGGATTATGTTCCAGGGGAAATTTTGGAAAGGCATATTAGGTTTGAAATAAAACATTACCTAGAGATTTCGCCCTCATTTTGTGAGAACTTTATGATTTGAGTTCTTGTTTCCTATAGGCGCCAGCCCCTATAGTTAATTACATCTTTTGATCATGAGAGAGGACTTTCGATTAAGGCTAGTCATCAATGAATACATCGTATCCGTAGATACGTGATATCCATCATATAGTAGCAGCATGGGCTTTAGTTTGGATGTTTTGAAATTTTGATATTTAAAATTTAAAATTTCACCACCTTGCACTTAAAGAGAATGGTCTAGGGAGTGATGATGATCCCGATCAAGATCTCATGGTTCCATCGTCCTGGGTCATCGTGGTCCTTGGTTTAGTTAGTCAGGGGAGTTAGTCGACCTAACTTGACAGAAGGATCCTTGTTAGCAACCATGGGTTGCGTCGTCCAAGGGTACCTTGTAGACCTGGGGTGGATGTTTGTCTAAGGGGATAAATTTGAACGTATCTTAGCTAACAGAGGGCTTTGTGCCCTATTGATTATATCCTATAGATTTATATCTTAAGGATTTAGCTCTATTGGGGAACATACAAGTGTTGACCATGATCGTAACATAATAGTGCTATTTCATGGAAAACCAACCGATTCATAGGGTCCAAGTCATAACCGTTTACCTATGATGCCACTTAGCTACAAAACCCATGGTGTGGTGTCATTTGGCTGTGAAACTACCAATTAGAGGACATGTGCCATGTCCTTACTGGCTAGAGATAAATTGAGAATGAATTCTAGTGATATTCACGACCAGACATTAGCTCTTTGTGAGCTGGAGCAGTTTTCAGATTTTTCCATCTCAGCAAATCCTTGTAGAGGATGGATGAGTGTTTGTTTTAAGTGTTTGATGATTTAATTTTAAATTTAAATATATTGAATCTTGGTATTTTTAAAATTTTGGATTTTATGGGCGCTTGGGCACATTTGACTACTTAGGATTAACCCCTCCGGTTGATATTTTCTGTTAACACAATCATCATTGAGGTTTATGGAGTCATTTAAAAATATATGTGGGAGTTAGAAGGCATTTGACAACATGTGATCCCCTTCGGTTGATATTTTTTATCAACACGGCCATCATCATAAAATTTATAAACATTTTATTTTATTAATTGAACCTTGTCAACTCGTTGACAGAGGATTAGGTTCGAATCCAAATTTATTTCTTAACCTACGTGGCATTCTCAGGTGTCACGTATGTACCTATAACACGCTCACCAAGTCCTACGTAGGCATATGTCATTGGATATATTTCATACGATGCATTCATATGTATGCATGATACAATTGTTGTGTTGAATGACAAACTAGAGTGAAACCCTCTGCTTATTGTCAATGCAAGCGGGGGTGTTTTTGAAATGCAACTATAGTGTTAAATGACACACTAGACTGGAAGCCTCTACTTATACATGAGGATAATTTTTGAAGTGCAATAGCGATGTCAAAAAAACACGCTATAATGAAATTTTTGACATCCTACAGATGCACGTTGGAGGTCTTTGTACATACAATACATATGTATGCAAATGCAATGTTAGATGATATGCATATGTAACCTATAATGCCTATTACAATGCATGTATGAGGGGCATTTTAAAATATTTGCATGCAATATGGAGGGGTGTCCAGTTGCATAAGTGGCTATTGTTGCTGAACACGTGGGGCTTTATTTCAGGCTTTGTTGACTCCTTCTACCTGCTTGTACGAAGTTTGCACATCCGATGGCATAAAATCGCACTTCAACGGACCGTGGTTCTTACTACCAATTCCCTGCTTTTGCTTACAAGTGAATCGTAGCGTTGTTATCTGATTTCCACGAGATACCTCATTGTTCTGATATAGACTCCATTTTCTCATTCACAGGGAGATCATATATCATTATATTGCTTTGTCCTCGACTCATCACGAGGGTAGGACATTGAATTGAGGGGTCTAATCTTCAAGTCTTCACTTGAATGGCGCGACATATTTTCGGGAGTCTTGGTATTTCTGAAGAGATGATGAAAGCCTAATGTCCATTGAGTCAGTACTAGGTAATTCACAGGTATCTAAACAGGTTCATATCAAGGTGCTTGACTAGATCACGTAGTCAAAATGGCACACAACCAAAGAAAGTGTAGTCCTACAAAGCAATCATTGGCACCAGCCTATGGGCAAATGGCCACTCCTCCTTGCAGATATCATGACATGCAAACTTGCCTTGGGAGATCAAACCAAAGGAACAATTTTCCTCAATGAGCTCCACCAATGGGCTCACCTAGGTTAGTCTTCCCCTGAGGGGAACTCACCCCAACAAAACCCACTCTTTTGCAATAGCTATTCGTAATTAAGGCCATCCACCTACTGTAAACATCTCTAACCAAGCTATAAGAAGCTTACATTTCTGTAACATATGTGATGAGGACATCAACATAAAATCTTGGTGAGTTTATCATAGGAGTCTTAGATTGACGGCTATGATTAGGAGCCTTTATTTATGATTTATTTCATGTATTTCATTTTCTTATTTCATGTTATGTTGAGAGACTTTCCCATTTTACCCTTATGTTGGGTTATTTGTGTGTTGTAGCCCAAGGGGCATTTTAGTATTTTGAATCTTCATGTTTTGAGGCTTATATATTGAGGTCTTAGGCTATTGGATGGGGATGATGATTATTATGAATTAAACTTCAGTTTTTCTGAATTGTGTGTTTGAGTCTTCTTGAGAGAAGAGTGAAGTCCCTAGGAGTAGTGAAACGCAACACCCAACAACTAACGTCGTGGCAAGGTTCTTGGCTCTATCTTTTCTCCCTCCTCACCCCACCTTCCTCCATTGGCTGCAGAGCCCTCCAACCCTCTTCCAAATAGCTAGCTGAAATTTCCTACTGCCCCATAGAGCCGAACCACCTTCCCTCTCTTCCATTCCCACTCACCTGCAAGCCCACCCTGCCTCTCCTCCTATTGCCGGCCAACCCCAACTGCATAGCCTTTTGTTATTCTCTCCACCTTTTTCTCTTCTCCATTGGTTTCCCCAAGGGTTGCTGCCTCTTCCTATTCCTCTCCTCATTGGCTCCACTTTAATTACAACTTTTTTCCCATCCCCATTAGCTCCACTTTAATTACTGTCTTTTCCCATTCCCCATTAACTCCACTTTGATTACAACCTTTTCCCCTTCTTTATTAACTCTACTTTAATTGTCACCTTTTCCCCTTTCCCATTAACTTCCCTTTAATTACTGCCTTTACCTATTCCCCATTAGCTCCACTTTAATTCCAACCTTTTCCCCTTCCCCATTAACTCCACTTTAATTGACACCTTTTTCCTTTCCCAATTAATTCCTAAAAGTTATTGCCTTTTCCTTATCCTCCCCATTAGATCCTAATTAATGTTGTCTTTTCCCATTCCCACCATTAATTCCTACACTAGTTGTTATCTTTTGCAATCACCATTGATCATCGAAGACCTCCCGTCTAATGGTAACTCATCTACATTCCATGCACTACTTCTTTTTGGGTAACTTTCTGTTGTTCAAAACCTTAAGGGTTTACTTCTTAGTGGCATTACTAGTATCGTATCAATTTTCTTCTGTTAAAATTATTTGAAGAGTGTGAGTGAGGGAACTAGACTGTGACTGTTCTAGTTGTTAATCGTGGGACTTGTGTGACTCATGGATAAGTACCTATTGTCTTGGTTATTATTTTACTATTTCCTACCAATACTTATAATTATTTGTTTTTACTTTATCAACAATTGAGAAGTCGCTTAAATCAGCTATTGATCTCCATTATATTATAATTGCTAAGCTTGTCAATTTATTATTATTCATAAGCAATTCTTGAATTTATCATATGTTTCACATCAATATGACTACGACTTCACTTACTAGACTCATCCCTAACTCACGACCACTTCCATCAAGGGGACTTGCCCCTCGTTCCCAAGGACTCATTCCTTGTTCCTAGGGACTCACCTCTTGTTCCTAAGGACTTAGCTTCCCTGACTCACCCTACATTCCATGTCCCAAAGATTCACCCAAGATATCTTCCTGAGAGGGGGCACATTCACATAGACATCATCCAGCTAGTCCACATTTCAGTGTCAGTATATATCAATCACATTATGTACAATTTTTTCTATTTATTCTAGATGTAGTTTTTTATGTCTCTCTCTTAAACATATAAATAAGGAGTGAAGAGACATTTTAGACTTCAGGCAAATAGGATTATTTACAAAGATATTATAACTTTTTACTCATCCGTCATACTCACTAATTTCCTTGACTCTAACTCTAACCCACCAATAACCTGTTAGTAAGGCCAAGTGTCTTCCACTGATAAATTTGAATTTAATAGAAATAGTTTAAGCTATGCACAACCCTTTTATTTTGAGTTTTGGCACCAGAAGCCTTTTTTATGTTCCAGCAAGCAAAAAAGGAACATTAAGCATTTGGCATAAGCTCAAATATTTGACATTCTGAGATGCCGCCACTTTTGAAGTGTTCACATTCTGCAAGTTGAAAGCGGCCCTTAAAACAACTGTTCAGGGTGTTATATTATGGGTAAATGAAGGCGAAGAGATAATGACCACTGTCATCAACCTACCTGATAGCAAATGTTGCAGAGAATAAGTGTGTTAAGAAATCTTAACATGACTGGAAAAAAGTATTCTCATATTTGATAGTATTCAAGCTTACTAGTCAGTTTTAGCAATCGAAAATCAGTAATTACAAGTCAAAAAATCTTCCAAAAATACACGCACAAAAAAGTCAAAGACCACTTGAATTGCCGAAAACAGAACAGGAGACTCAAAAAATGTTATCGTGACATAATAAAAATTCATCCTACAAACAATGTCAGGACTACTCATGAAATCTTTTGCTTGACTGGTTAAGAAAATTTGAGATTATTTTCCCTATCAAGAAATATTATATAAGAAGTCTAATAAAGATCTCATCAATAAAAGTATAAGTTGCTTAATGTAATAGTTTTTTCCTGTAGTGGTTCTTACTTTTTGCTGTTCCAAAAGGCATCCACAAAAATTTTATTATATTTGATAGCAACTGGACAAACGGCACACCCAAGTTCAAACGCACCCTGGATAAACATGGAAAATAAAGAATTCAATAATCTCCTTTATTACATTGCTAAAAAGTGCTGAGGCAAATGAAGTTTCAAATGTGAGAGAATAAACCATAACTTGGACTTAGAATTTTACAAAAAATCATAAGCCCATAGACAGTGAAAGAAGTTATTGATAAACAATATATATTTTCAACCAAATGTTAATTGAGAATGAAAAATAGTTGGAATAAGCCAGCAAAAGCAAATTAGTTAACAACAACAGAACAACCATGATAACATAAGCCTAGTACAATCATCTGACAATTAGCCTTTCATTATATTCTAGAAACTCAGGTTAATTTTGGAGCAATGCTTAAATCTTCAACTTATCCTTAAACTTTATTTTCGTATTTGAGAATCAAACTCAAACAGTTGATAGCTTTTTAATCGCAAAATCAGGTTGGAGAATTCACATTTGGAATAGGTGTGAGCTTGTGAAGTCGTCACAAGGAATTCCGATGCTAAGATGAATTAGTTATGTAGCTCCACTTTTCAAATATTCCCGTACCACCAGATGCATATCCTATAACAACAACTTATAGTCGAACTGAACGTCTCGGAAATACGAACCCAACGACACCAAATTCGACTCAATCCTAGCCCAAATGAGTCCAAATCAAAGGCCCGAAGCACATTCAGAAGGTTCAAACCATAATTTGGATTATCAAACAGTTTCCAAACATGACATGCTCATAGTAAAATCGAGTGGCTCGACATGACGAATCTAACGAGCCCAAGATCTCCAAATTCTGATATCATTAAGACATTCAAATGCCCAATAAACGGTCCATGATCAAAGGATTCAACATTGGTCGTCCTTTCAAATCATTCCCAATTTACTCTTAATTTTTCTCCTATTTACTGGTTATGCCACTATCAGAAAACTATAAATAGACTCCTCATTTCTCATAGAAGGGGACCCCCAAAGGGGGAGGGGGGGGGGGTGGGGGAAGAAGGAGGCCCAAGCAAGAAGACAAGAGAAGAAAGCAAGGAAGAGAAGGGAGAGACTCCTCCTTGACCACCGTCGGACTTTCACCCGACAGCCGACTGATGCCGGACTTCTGCCCGATCACCAACTAATGCCGGAATTAAGCAAGGAAGCAAGAAGAGAATGAAGAAAAGGAAGAGAAGGAAGAGAGCACTCTTGTCACCAGACTCTTCCTCGACCACCGCTGGACTTCCACCCGACAGCCTATCGACATCAGAGTTATGCCCGAATGACATCTGACGCTAGAGTTCTGCCCGGCTGTAGAATGACATCGGACTTCTACTCGACGCTGAACCTCCGCTCGTCACCAGAATCCTACCCGACGCTGGACTTCTACCCGACGTCAGACCTCCGCTCATTGCTGGACTTATACCCGACGCCGAACTTCTGCCCGTTGCCGGACTTTCATCGGACTTTTGTCCATCACTGGACTTCTACCCGACAAAGTCCTTCCAACCTATGTCGTCTGCTGACTAAGCTACTTCAGACTTACGTCGCCCAGTGACTACAGTGCTTTCGACCTCTATCGCCCGCCAACTACGATCCTTCTGACTTACGTCGCCCACTGACTACAATCCTTTTGGCCTCCATCGCTCGCCGACTACGGTCCTTCCGACTTACGTCGCCCACCGACTACAGTCCTTCCGACTTACGTCGCCCACCGACTACAGTCTTTCCGATCTCCGTCGCTCACCGACTATTGCCTTCCGACCAAACAAACACATTAACAGTGATTCTTTGTATTCCCACCATGTAATGTGCTCCATATGTTGTACATCAAGCTAAGGCCTTCCCCCCAAGGAAGGACCTCATTTGTAATCAACTGCAAATACTAGTGGATTAATTGAAACTGGGCTAGGCTCATGGTTTTTCTCCTTTTCAGGGGGTTTCCATGTAAAAATCTTGGTGTCTCTTATAAATGGCGCACCTCTCTTTTTATCTGATTGCGTGCTGGATCTTCATACAAAAGCTAAGACGTTAAACTTTATATTTTTCTACCTCCACGAATACTCCAGGACGCAACAATACGCATAATTCAGCTCTCTGACCGTGACTAAAAAAAAATAATTACATGTCCAAAAGTGTACGAGTATAAATATAAACCATGATCACATGTATGAAGAATACATTTAAGATCTAATTCCTGGAGAACTACTTTAGGAGTTAATTTCTTATGCGTGACTGCTATTTTATGTATTCATAGGTTCATGTCAAAATTTATAACCAACTTAGAATAATATAGTGATTCTTACCCAAAGAATTTCATGATTCAAAGAAAAACCAGCACATATGCTTCTGGCTTTTGCTCCACCGAATTCTTAAGATAATCAAGTACTGCATGAATATTTAGGCATAAATAAGATAAGTTAAAACAAACATCTTGATGCAGGATGTCATACAGTCTAAAATCTCTTAATATATCTCTATGATAATATGATAACCCTAGACAAAACTCTCCTAGACAAAACTCTAGAAATGAAATTCAACAAACAAAAGATGATAACCCTAGACAAAACTCCCCCTTAAATAGCCCTCAAACACAATAAACACAATTGGAACTTTCCTAACTAGCATAAACACAATCAGGAAACCTTCCTAAATAATTAAAACCTTCATAAACACAATTAGGAAATCTTACTAAACTATTAAAACCTTCCTAAACATTTCCTCCTTGATTTCTCCTCTATTCATAATGAATTACAGCTTTCCTGGGCCCCACAAGGGGGAGCTGAAATCCCCTTGGTTCTGTCCTTGTTCCGCCCAGCCCCTGGTATGGTTCAACTTCTACTGGACCAGTCGATTGGGTTGGTCTAGGCCCCCCCTCACTCCTACCGCTCCTGACATATCAATACTCC